GGGGGGGGGGGGGAGCCCGCGGCGAAAATTTGCCAGTACTGGCACAGAAGAAACACGCTCCAGTAGCTCGGTACAGCGACCTAGGCCTACCCACTGCACGACAACCTAGCTTGCGGTGTTGGGTTTGGGTTCGGGTTCGGGTCAGGGTTAGGGTTTAGGGATGGGTTAGGCCTAGTGACGCCTAGCGCCTTGGTGCTGCCTGAGGGCTGGAAACCCGCTGTGGCTTTGGTTTCGTGTCTACCTCCAAACACAACCCAAAAATTGTTGAACTGGCGAGTGCAAGAATCTCGCCAGCGCTGGCGAGATTCTTGCACTCGCCAGTTCAACAATTTTTGGGTTGTGTTTGGANTTTGTTTGCGGATGCGTGTGCGGCTTCTTTTTTTTTTTTCAGTTTTATAGGGTTTTCGCCTGTGCGGTCGCTGCTGCTTCTACTGCTGCTGCTTTTGTTCAGCTTGCTGCTGGATGACCGTCGATTTTTAATGCTCGGGTTTGATGCTGATGTTTTCCTCGCGGGGTCTCCGCCGGCGCGTGGTACATACCAGCGCCTGCATCCTCTCCGTCGATCCCCCGTCTTGGTTATGTTCCTTGCGCCTGTTCTACGGTCCGTTGTGGGCGGTGCCAATGGCGAGACCACCGTTCAGCCTGTCTTGTGCCTCCTCCGATCCTGACCAATTGCCGCTGCCGGCGACGTTTCTGCTGCTGCTGCTGCTGCTGCTGCTGCTGTTTTTTCTTTCCTGGGCAGATGCCGATCAGCGTGGACGACTTCAAGATGGACCTCGCGAGTCTCTCTAGCCACAAGGTGAGACAGTACACAGTTGGTTACTGGGACGGGAAGTGTTAGTCGTAACGACAGTCCTCGCTGCTGATGCTTAGTCAGCTGTCGAATGGAAAAATCCAACGTGTGAGAAATCCCCCACCCTACCCGCCCCGCTCCCATCAAAAATTAAGTCATGGGTCAAACGAAAACAACAGTAGTCTTGACGCATTCGACCCCAATGGATATTTGATTTGCACCTCTTGACTTTAATCACCTTGAAGCTGTGTGGAAGTTGCCCGACTACAGGCGCAAGGTCTTCTTGCTACTTTGCTTTGCTCCTGCCGGCCTGGCAAGGTGCTTGACGACCAGCACGTTTCGTTCATAATTGAAGCTCGAGCCCAGCAAAAGGTGGAGGGCCACAGCCCCCGAAACATACAACGTGAGAGGGTACAGCAGCGGACTCGCAAGGCAGCGTCTGCGCTGGGCGCCCACACCCGGTGTTTGCATCCAGCACACAAGCCGCCTTGCGCGTCCGCTTACGTACCTCATCACGCTCCACTTCTCGGCCTGTGGCCTCTGCCTCTTGCCGGCCTCTTGCCGGCCTCTTGCCGGCCTCGCGCATCATGTTAGAACAAGGACGTGTTGGTGGTCAAGGTATCCGTCGATGTCCCTTGGCCGGCATGACTTTTCAAAACGCCGGGTCGATATAGCCATTTGTAGACGATGGGTGTGGTGGTCGGCACCGAAGCCGAACCAGCCTCACCCATGGCAATCTCGCGAAATAGCGGGATTAACCGCTTGGCCGCTGGTAGCAGCGGTGGTCACTGCGGGACTTCCCGCAGTTGCTGCTGACGCGTCTGGATCGCCAGCACAGCGGTACTGTATACGCCACGGAGTTCCGGGGTTGAACCCGTGGCTGCGTGCCCAGGGGGAAGCCGTGGGGGCGATGTGGTGTTGGGGAACCATGGGGGGGGGTAGGAACCGGCGCAACGCAGATCAATAGGGTTCGAGTGTGCATCGGTGATGATGTCACCTTGTTCAAGGCCAGTCAATCGCGGTCATCGCTTTTGCACCAAAACATGTTTGACAGATTTACGGCCCCAAGGGCATCGGAGCTCTGTACGTGCGTCGTCGGCCGCGAGTCCGCCTAGACCCGGTCTTCTCTGGCGGGGGACAGGAGAGGGTGAGGAGGATGGATGCCATCAAGTTTTTGTGGCAGTGTTTAATGGCCTGCGGTGGCGTCGTAGTCTACGCTTGAGGTGTGGACAGAGCCAGCGGAGGCGGGAGCTTGAAACTGCCGATGATATTGTTGCTGTTTATTTATGTTTTTGCTTACCTTTGTTCTTTTCTTCGTTCGACCCATGGAACAGTTTTTTGTTTTTCTGGTATGACGTCGTTTCTTCGCGAAGGTGCAAAGGAACACGTACATCTAGGAAGAACATCTTCTAAGGTGTGCGCGAGAGGTGTGGTGGCTCACACCGTTGATTGACGAACCAACCACGCAATATTGTACCCAGTTAATTTACATCGAGAACGTCCGCCCAACCTCCCTCCTGCCTGCCGTGCTGCAATCTTCTGTATGTTGCTGTGCCATGACAGGGCCTTCGATCGGGCACTCTTCCTCACGCTCTCTGCGCCGGGTTCGGCATGGCCTGCCAGGTGAGATGATGACGTCACTACCGTAGACAGGTGACGTCGCTACCGTAGATAGGTGACAACATGAGACGATGACGTCACTACCCTAGGCAAGTGACGTCGCTACCGTAGATAGGTGACAACATGAGACGATGACGTCACTACCCTAGGCAAGTGACGTCGCTACCGTAGATAGGTGACAACATGAGACGATGACGTCACTACCGTAGACAGGTGACGTCATTCTTAATACGTGGATAGGTGACAAACATGAAATGGGTGACATGGGGAATGTCGTACCTGCTGGACAGATGTTTTCAACAGTGAGGCGATGCCGGATGTTGGAACTACTGCTGTCTTGTCGATCACTTTCCGAAAACGCATGCACGTACTCTCGCCGCATGGGTGAGTGTACCATTGTAAGGTGAAGCCGTGCCCCCCACCCTCCTGGCTTTTGAATTGTCTGACAAAACGACCTGGAACGGGGGGTTGGTGCGTGTTTTCCGCACGCCCCGTCCCATGCAGCTCAAGAAGTGTCGGTGCTTTGTCTCGAAGTGAAGAGGAGTGCCCCCTCCCGCCTCCCCCGCGCCCTCCTACCCGCCGGTCTGGTTGGCAGAAAGAAGCACTAGCTCGAGCCGTCTCGGATTGCGAGAGGGTGTTAGTCCTGTGGTCGAGAACAGCTACAGCGTGCAATCGGTCGTGCGTAGCCCCCCCCCTAACGTGGTGATCTTGATGCCATACACACAAACGTGCACGTTTTTCTTGGTCTGGTCTGCAGGTGGCACAAGAAGAGATGGACGTGGACAAGGAGTGGGTGGACCACCTGTCGAAGCGCATGTACGACGCGGTGATGACGCGCATCCCGGACGTTACCCTTAACGGAGACGCCGACAGGAGGTATCCGGGGAACCTGAACTTCTCCTTCGCTTACGTGGAGGTACGGGCGGGCGGGCGCGTGCTGTGCTGTAGAATACACAGCAAGAGTTTCGTGATGGATGAAAGCGAGTCATTGCTGTTGTCGCCTTGTTTGTACGTTTCCAACGCTTTTAAATGTTTCAGAAAATGTGAATACAACGAACGAAAGAAATACCCGTTCGAGATAAAAGCCACAACAGCAGTAGAAGGGGATTGTGTGATTTTGTTTGTTCTTTTCTTGCGCAAGCCTCTTGGGACACAAGCGCACTCGAAAGCATATTTGTATGATGGGTGTGGCGTACTTTTCTGCTCCTTCGTCGACGGTTTGGCCTCGCGAATGGTTTACTTGTTAGCTCCACCCCTGTTGGCCGTTATTTGTTTTCCGTCGTTCTCGCATTATTTGTACAAGTGTTGCGAAGGCCAAACCGTCGACGCAGGAGCAGACGAGTACGTCACACCCATCATACACGCAAATACGCTTTCAAGCGCGCCTATGTTCCACGAAGCTTGCGCAAGATAAGACCAATTGTTTCAACCCATCCCCCTGTACTGTTGTGGCTTTATCTCGAACGGGTGTTTTCTTTCTTCATTTTATGAACGTCAGAATTCAGGCCTTCCTTGTACACTACGACGTTGTCGACGAAACACTTGCGCAGTCTGATACAGAAGTGCAGATTATTCTCATTTTCTTCAGCATGTATACGTGGGAAAGGTACAAAGAAGGCGGCAGCAGTATCAACTCGTTTTCCCATCACGATGTTCGTCTCTGTTGGCAACGAAACCAAAACCACACTGCCCCTTTGGCAAGACCCGCCTGGAACAGAGCTTGTAGACGATGAACACCAACGGGCTACGTCATTCACTTGGACTATATTCCTTTGAGCGATTTCGGCACATGTAAGAAACATCAACCGGGTGGACTACATGCGAGTGGAAATGCGCCGAAAATAGTATTTCCCGATTGGAAATGGCCACGACGTCGGGACTCCGCAACGAAATGAAAAGCCCCAAACCACGGCATATGTGCCACGGCCTACCGGGAACGCTATGCTACGAGCGGGTACGCATATCAGCAGTAAACCAAGATAAACCAAGATAATTGACCCCGGTCAGTAAACACACACAAACTATTGGAGTGTATATCCACTCAAAAATACGTTTTGTGTTTATTTTTTTTCGTTTTACTGATTGTTTTTTTTTTTGTGTTCGGGAAGACAGGTACCTGAAAACACCGTATATTCCTTTCTATTGTTTGTTGAGAAATGAAGGAGTTATGTAGACTACCCCCGTACAGCCCAGCATTTGTGTCCTTTCTGTCGTCTGTGACGGTGTTCTATGAAACACAAATACAGTCCGTTCTAGTGCGAATCTCACCCCAACCCGGCGCGGCGACTGTGCGTTTTCCTTTTTCTTGCGTGTTTCATGAACAACTAAATTTGACACACCGCGTCACCATCATCATCCCCACCGTTGCCAGGGTGAGTCGTTGCTGATGGCGCTGAAGAACATCGCGGTGTCGAGCGGCAGCGCATGCACGTCGGCCTCGCTGGAGCCGTCTTACGTCCTCAGAGCCATCGGGGTTGAGGACGACCTGGCGCACACCAGCATGCGATTCGGTAGGTGTCAAAATACTCTCTCGTGTCGCTCGTTCGTTCATGTCCGTGTTGTTGTTGCTGCTGTTGGTTCCTGTTGAGGACGACCTATTGTAGCGCACACCCAGCATGTTATTCGGTAGGTGTCCAAGTCTCTCTCTTGTGTCGCTCGTTCGTTCATGTCCGTGTTGTTGTTGCTGCTGTTGGTTCCTGTTGAGGACGACCTATTGTAGCGCACACCCAGCATGTTATTCGGTAGGTGTCCAAGTCTCTCTCTTGTGTCGCTCGTTCGTTCATGTCCGTGTTGTTGTTGCTGCTGTTGGTTCCTGTTGAGGACGACCTATTGTAGCGCACACCCAGCATGTTATTCGGTAGGTGTCCAAGTCTCTCTCTTGTGTCGCTCGTTCGTTCATGTCCGTGTTGTTGTTGCTGCTGTTGGTTCCTGTTGAGGACGACCTATTGTAGCGCACACCCAGCATACGATTCAGTAGGTGTCAAAGTCTCTCTCTTGTGTCGCTCGTTCGTTCATGTCCTTGTTGCTGTTGTTGTGACTGCTGTTGTTGCTGATGCTGGTTGAGCTGTTGTCAAGTTTTCTTTGTTTTCGATTTTTTTTGTAGTCGATTGTTTTATCCTTGCGGCTGTTTTTTCCGATGTGTCGCGCGTTGTAGCCACCTCTCGCCTCCGTTTTGGCACGTTGTATAACTTATGATTGGTATTGATGGAGCCCTCGTCGTTGTATGTCCAAACATGTTTCTTTAAGTACACGTGCGGGATAACCCAGAGAAGACATGGCGTGACGTTTGTGTTTGCATTGGGCTTGAACGCGGTGTGTGTCACGTTGGTGCCATGAGGGCAACGCTGTTGCTAGTTCCTTCGTTGCACTCTGTTTAGTCCTGGCTGTGGTGTGGTGTTAATAGAACATGAAAAAAAAACACGCCTCTTCACGCCGAACGAAAAGAATAAGCAAGACGGGTTCTCTTCGGGTTTGGAAGCACTTGGTGTATAGACACCCGCAGCGGCAAGGGGGTGGCGTTATTTGTGTCTGTTATTCTATTGTCGTGTTATTGCCAACATCGGGGGGGGGGAGGGGGGCGGCGAGGAGCACAAGCTGTACATGTAGCCCTTGCCGAACGAGAGGAGAGACAGCACTCCACGATGTTTTGCTTGGCCTACGCGTAGAGACTCCAGATGGAGGGTGACAAAAAAGAGAGGGAGAGAGATAGACAGTTTATTGTGCCACTCCATCACTCTCTGTGTGCGTGTCCGTTTCCGTGCCTGCCTGCCTGCCTGTCTCTGTCTCGCTCAAGAGTGTGTGTATCTCTTTTTCTTCTTTCTCTCATACCTCTGCTGGTTTTTCTCGCTCGCCTCCCTTTTTTTTTTCTTTTGGTCGTCGTTAGGGATTGGTCGCTTTACCACCGAGGAGGAGGTGGATTTCGCGGTGGAGTCGCTTGCGCACCACGTGAACCGGCTGCGGTCCATGAGCCCGCTCTGGGAGATGGTCCAGGAGGGCATCGACATCAAGAGCATCCAGTGGTCGCAGGACGCTCACTAGAGACGGATGTCATGCTGCATGGTTGTCTCAACCACTATATGTTCCGACGGAGCTTCTTGCCGGGATTTGATTCTGAAAAGCAGCGCTGTCGAGAGAGAGAGAGAGAGAGAGAGAGAGAGAGAGAGAGAGAGAGAGAGAGAGAGAGAGAG